GCCTTGCGCTTGGCCGCGAGCCGCGCGGCGGCGGCCGCGTCGGCGGCGGCCTTGCTGGCGGCGGCGGCGCGGTTGACCTCGCCGCGGAGCGCGGCAAGGCCGCCGTCGGCGCCCCTCCAGGCCTGCATAAGGCCGCGCCCGCCGGGCGCGCCGCTGCCGCCCGGGGCGTCGCCGGCGCCGGGCGTTCCGGCGCCGGCGGGGTCCATCAGGGGCGTGGGATCACACCGTTTGTGCTATTGCGCCAGTTAGGGCGCTGAACAGCGAGCCAGGGGTCGACCTGGCCAGGCTATGCCTCTGCGCGAGCAACTAGGCTTGGTGGGCCTCGAAGCAGCTGATATGCTATTCAGCTACAATATGTGCATTCAAGACGGCTGAACGCTAGAAGTAGGGTGATCTGACGGTCTGCTCGCAAAGCTGTATTGTAGCTGCAAGGTTGTGGACACTGCTAAAGTTGCGGACCAGCCTCAACAATCACAATTGGGCAAGGGCTGGCCTCATCTGGACCCAGGCGCATCTCGAGCGGGCACCCACCAAGCCTTACCGATCATGACACACGAGTGATGTGGCATCACACGCCAACTGACGCAAGTGCTCAGTTTGGGCTGCATCAGTGCGTGAAGCGGGAGGTGCCTGCTGGAAATGTTTGATGGCGAGTGACGACAGCCAAAATTGTGTAATAGCGGCGCGGCAGCTTGTCGCCAGAGCCGCTGAAGTGGAGAAGCAGCAGTGCGCAGGTCAGCCGCTGCAGGTCAGCCGTGGACTCATGAGGATTGCAGCATGCCCGAGCTTCCGACACCGCAGCTTGTCAGCCTGACAGCTGAGCTGGCTGAGCACTGCCTGCCCTGGTGAACAGCAAATTCTGTCACAGATTCCCCAACAAACTTCTTCTTCCTGCCCTTCAGCGCCCGTGACAGCTGGATGCTCGCTGGACCATACTCAGCAGGAAGCACCCGCATCAAGTTGCTGAGCCCCACTCCCCGGCCCTTCCTGTCCCACACAGACACCCGTTTTCCAGGCCTGGTGATGCAGAGCACTTTGTTACATACAGGTGTGCAAAAGTCAATTCACAACTGTTGACCCAGATTAGGTGTCATCAAGGACGAAGAAAGCTGTCAGATTGCGTGACCACTTGTTGTGAAACCCGTCAACACCCAGCACGACAGAACAACCTAGGAGGCTGATCACGTTTTGCGTTGTAGCCATGCGCTTTATCTCTCACTAGATGCGCCCACTTGAGCCAGCGTTCATCCCAGCCAGCCCACCCCAATGCTGCGAGCACCTGATGGCCCGAAACAATCCGGAAAAGCAGACCTGCGCCGCCCGCCACGCTGCTGCGCTCTGGCCCGCCAGAGCACGCGTGCGTCCCTGCTGCTGTTGTTCCCTGCCGTCAAGTGAGCCTTGCCAGCACTTCAGCCGTGAGCACTGGCCCTGCAGCGACAGATTCTTGCTCCTGCAAGGTGTCCCGTCCGCCCAGCTTGGGCAGCAGCGAGCAGCAGCCTGGGGTCGAGCTGCTGCACTGCCGTCACCGGGAGATCCTGAAAGCAGCAGCAGCAGCAGCAGCAGCAGCAGCAGCAGCAGCTGCTGCTGCTGCTGCTGCCGGCGGCCTAACTGTCCTGGCTGCCGCCATCGCTGCCGCCCAAGGCACGGCTGCAGGTGCTGACCCTGAGCCGTGAAGGCCCGGGCTGTCGCCAGCTGCTCCAGTTGTAGATGCTCCGGGGCGCCTGCCCCGGGCCGCAACCCCAACAACGCCGCTCCAGCAGGCGCGCGGCAGGGTGTCCCGTCCACGCCTGCTGCTCTTGCCACTGCGCGTCATCTTGCTCCTCGCACTGCTGCCGGTCCTGCTGCTGCTCCTCTTGCTGCTCCTCTTCCTTCTCCATTTCATCGTCGTCGTCGGAGAAGGCTGCGCTCCAGTCCACTGCGCTGCCATAGGTCTGGTACACCAGCGGTGCTGCCTCCTCCTGCTGCTCATCTGACTGTAGTTGCTGCTCCTCGTGCCGCCCTGCGACGCCGTCAGACTCAGGCTCGTCGGCGGCGCTCAAATCGGCGAAGCTTCCGAAAGCGATGCAAGTCAAAGCCAGCTCAGCTGGCAGGGGTGCTGCCGCCGACCCTGAAGCCGTCTCGCCGCCGTCTCCCTGTGGCGCAGGCGCGGCGTTGCCGAAGCTGCCAAACATCATGGATTCCGGGCCGCTGTGCGCTGCAAAGTTGAGCACGGGCTGCGACGACGCCGGCGCCGTCTCGGCGCCCGCATCTTGCATCCGTGCATCTGTGCTGCAGCCAGACTCCCCAACGCACCAGTCAATGTCAGCATTGAACGAGCCAAAGTGCAGCGTTTTTGGCTCCTCCTCTGCCAGTGGCCGCGGCGGAGGCGCCGCGGCCACAGCCTCGCAGCAGGCAGCCGTGAGCAGCGGAGGCATGTGCAACAGGGCCTCAGCGCACAAGGGCTGCACCACCGGCACCACTGCGAGCATTGCCGCCAGGTGGCGCTGGACGTGCCCCTCCAGCAGGCGGGGTGCGGGCGCCTCCTCCTGCCACCACCGCGGCGCCGACCGGCGGGGCTTTGGCGGGGCGGGCAGCAGCAGCAGGGGTGCCGCCGGCAGGCCCAGATGCGGCAGAGGCGGAAGCGGGGTGCTCGTTTTGCTGCACAGGAGCGGCGGTACGGCGACCGCCTTGATGGTGTGGGGCGGCCGCCGGCAGCGCGTGGCCGGCACGGCCTGCAGCAGCGTGGCCGGCGCCGCCGCAGAGGCGACCGCGGCACACTGCCGCCTGGGGCGCGGGGGTCTGCGCCCCGCCTTGCTGGACCCGCGGGCCGCGTCAATGATGGCGGCGGTGACGACGGCGGCGCCGTCACTGGTGACGTAAGAGATAGTCACGTGTGCGGCGGCGCCGCCGCACAGCTCTGCAAGGGAGCGGGGGCTGACGAGGGCACCGGCCAGTGGGCGGGCGCCGTTAGCACTGCACTTTGATGGCGTCAGGGCCTTGGGGCCGATGCTTAAGGGCGACGCGAGGGGGGCGGTGCTCGAGCCGGCGTAGCCGAGAGGAGAGGCAACGGGCGTGACGTCGAAGTCGTCCAGGTCTGAGGGTGTGGGCGAGAGCTCCCAGAGGGGGCCCGCGGCGGCCGCCTCGAGCGCAAGGGCCTTCAGCGGCACACCCAGGCGCGCGGCGCGGGCCTCAGCGGGTTCGACGCTGTAGGCGGCCCCCGCGTCGCGCGTCCTGTTGAGCACGGCAGCCGCGCGGGCGGCGATATTGTCGAAGGCGATGTGGCTGGAGGGCTGTGGAGACAGCTCGGCCCAGCTCGGCGCGGCAGTGACGGCGCTTGTGATCGGTTGGCCGACATCTGCCGATGCCAAAAGGGTGTGGTGGCTGGTGCAACCTGACGCGTCGCTCAAATGCGACGCAGCAGTGGCAGCACTGCCCTTCAGTAGTAGCACTGGCGCCTTGGGGCTGATGCTTAAGGGCGACGCGAGGTGGGCGGTGCTCGAGCCGGCGTAGCCGAGGGGAGATGCGTCAGGCGTGATGTCAAAGTCGTACAGGTCGGAAGGCGTGGGCGAGAGCTCCCAGAGGGGGCCCGCGGCGGCCGCCTCGAGCGCGAGGGCCTTAAGTGGCACACCTAGGCGCGCGGCGCGGGCGTCAGCCGGCTCGCCGCCGTGGGCGGCCCCCGCGTCGCGCGTCCTGTTGAGCACGGCAGCCGCGCGGGCGGCGATATTGTCGAAGGCGGTGTGGCTGGAGGGCTGTGGAGACGGCTTGGCCCAGCTCGGCGTGGCAGTGACGGCGCTTGAGATCGGTTGGCCGACATCGGCCGATGCCGAAAGGGTGCGCTGGCTGGTGCAACCTGACGCATTGCTCGACTGCGACGCAGCAGCGGCAGCAGGGCCTGGCAGATCAAATTCCATGACTGGCCTTTGCTGCAGCACTTGTGCACGTCGCTCAGCGGCAAACATCAGTGGGCAAGGCCACGGCGCCGGCGCTGGCGGGGCCGCGGCTGGCGAGCTCTCACAGGTTGCCCCTGTCGCCGCATGACCTTGAGAGGCTGCTGATCCATCTACGTTGGATTTACTTTGTAGGATCGCTGGTAGGGGTGCTGGTACTGTCGACGGCGTGCCACCAGGGTCTGGAGGCTTGGGCGGGTTGTCGGATTGGTCGTGGTTGGTGGCTGGTTTGCTGCAGCACGAGAGGAACAGGCGCTTGATGGCGCCCCAGAGCCCGCTGCCGCAACCACACCTGGAAGAGTTTGATCAAGGAAGACCAGGAGCTTTATTTTGGCGCTTTAGGGGTTGCCTGCAGGCTGTGGTGGTGCATGGTGCCGCACCGAGGGCGTGAGCTTTCGCGCCCATGGCCAGCAGCTCGCGCTTGGTTGGCGGCGCTGAGCAGCCAAGCAACAGCTCCGGACAACGTCACGTGGCACCTCGGCGGCAAGTTAATGGAACTGCAAATACTTCTCAATCACCTTGCACGCCTTCTGGACGCCTTGTCGGCCCTGCAGCGACGCTGAGTGGCAAGTTCCGAACCTGAGGCCCCTGTCTGGGGCCTCGGCAGCGCCTGCTGCGCATTCGAAGTTATCTGGGCGCTATGGCTGGTGTGTAGTAGCACCATCATCGCGAGCAAGGCTCTTATGAACGCCATGGCCAGCAGCTAGTGTCAAAGCTCTCTCGCGACAGCCGATGTGTGAGTACGGTATGTTTGCTTCTGAAGTCGAATACACAAGACACTTGCATGAGATTTTCCACAACAGGGTGGGTTTCGGTCTCTCGTTGCTTCACAGCAATGTCGGCAAGTACTGTACCTCCAGCTGCTCAGTACGAGAGGAGGTGGCAAGTGCCGCGGCCCCCTGCACATGCCAGGATTAGCAGAAGCCTGGTATGTGCAGCGAAATGATTGAGGTTTGATTCTAGCTCTAGTTTGTCTTGAGCGCTGTCTTGGCGGGCATGCTGACCAGAGGCTCTCCTCTCATCCTCACGTGCAGTCAAGTACGAGGAAGTCATCCTAAAAGCCAAAGCGATCTCTTGACTCACCACATTTGCACCGATAAACTCACGCCAGTGCCTGTGCCCAGACATCCAAGCCCATTGTCGTGGCCCGACATCCGCATGCAGGCTGGTACGGTAGGCCTGGCGCACAAACTCGGGCTTGGAGAGCCGATGCCTCCCACTGGCAGAGGGCTTGGTCGGACACCTTGGCACTCCTGCAGGGCATCCTGCCAAGTTCCCAGCGCAGCATGAACCCGTTTCATGTCGACCTGCGCGCCTGCTGTGCCAGAGCTGATGACAACAGGAGCTGCCGCAATCACTTAACCAGACTGGCATGCTTGAGCCGCCGCGCTTACCCCCGGGGTCGGGCTGGCTTCACCTTTCACGCTGCAGGGGCGCGTTGCGGTCTGTTTAGCTGCAAATTATTGTACTCGTGCCATAATGCTTTTGGTTCCGGACATCGACTGTTATGGAGGTGGGTATGGCCATGCCTGGGTTAAAGTCCTGGTGTTGGCCTGAAGACGCTTTACTGTTCATGCAAGATTTGACCAGATGTTGACTCATCTCGCCGCATGAATTCTAGCAGCAGCAGCCTCCATTTTCGCCCTGGCCTACAAAGCATCATCCGGAAAGCCTGAGAATATGCCCGTGAGGACATCATGCATGACTACAGTTCACAACCCGGTGCGATCTGAGGTGTGGATGAGTCACTCGCCAGATCTGCAAATCAATCTTGTATAATCAGATTACAAGATCATGTTCGACTCGCGATTCAGTATGTATACACGGTCGAGCGCGGTGTCACCTGAAATGTGGGAAGTCTGCGTACATAGTAAAAATTTGAATATGATCAAGGTGTCATGCAGCACAGGAAGACAGTGCATCTGGATGGCCAGCAGCCACTCCTTCCAGTGCAGCGGGGAGCCCGACCCCATTTGCGCCGCGGCCCGCTTCTGCGGCCAGCCGCACTGCTGCTACTGCTCCCGGTTGCAGGTGCGACTGTATGAGTGCATGTGTGCATGCATGCTTGCGGGAGTGTGGCACAGAGTAGGTTGTGCAAAACCTATGAGATACTGAGGTCATGCGCAGATTTCCACTCAACTCCAGGCCCACCCGGCGGCCCCGCCAGTGCATCCGGCACCTTGCACGGCCCCTCCCCTTGGCCCCGCCGCACCCAACCTGGCGGCCCGCCGCTCTCACAGCGCTGCCGTTCCTAGTGCACAACGGCCACCGGCTTGGCGGCGGCGCGGGCGGTGACACCTGCCGGGCGCGGCTCGTGGAGCTGGGAGTCGACATGAGTGAGGGCGGCAAAAAAACAGACAACACGCCGCTGGCGGCCTTTCATTGATGACCTTATAGCCGCTGGTTTCGGGAGTGACAGCAGACTGTGGTCATCAATGTGGCAAGGCCTTCTCCACAAAAAACCGCCTGCGCTCGCTGTCTGGCGCCTCCCAAAATGGCAGCAGCTGCCCTGGCTGCAGCGGCGTGGCCTTTCACCAGGCAGCCGACCCTGGTCTGCGCAGCCCTTATGCAGCACACAACAGTGCAATCCCATCCCAAATCCCGACCCGCCCTGCCCGCACCCCACCGACGCCCCCCTCGGCCATCCGTATGCGCCGCCGCCAGCCGCCGCCCCTCCCGGCCCCGCCGGCGCGCTCCCCGCCCTCGGCGCAGCCGCGCGGCGCCGCCGCGCGTACGCGGCCATGTCTGCGGCCGGCGGCGCCCTGACACTCGGTGGCGAGATCACCCAGGGGCTGACGCAGTCAGATCTCTTCCAGATCGCGCCGTCGCCGCCCGCGCCGCCGGCGCCGCGCCCGCTTGCGATGCGCTTGGATCCTCAAGGCATCGGCGGCGAGGGCGCCGCCTGGCCCGGCGCCGGCTCGGTCGTCCCGCGGCTGCGTGCGCTCGACGTCCCCGTGCGCGCGGTCGTGCTGCCGCTGCTGGACCAGGAAGCCGCCGCGCAGCTGCACGGCGCGGCCGTGGCGCGGCTGGGGGCGCTGCTGGGGGAGGGGTCGGTGTGGTGGCAGGACCCGGCGCTGTATCACGCGACCGTCTTCCATGCGTCCACACAGGGGGTGGGTGGGTGGGTGGGTGGGGAATCGTGTGTGCCGCACCTGCGGGTTGGGACCCCCATTGCCGGCCATGCGTGCTGCATGCACGTGAGTGTACTTTTTGATAGTATGTTTGCAGGATTCAGCAGCAGCTGGAATGGGCGACGCATGGGCCAGGGGTGCGTCCCGCTCCGCACGATGACGTACGGCGCGCTCAGAAGCCCCTTGGCCCCACACAGGCGCCGGTGGCGGCGTCCGCGGCCGAGGTCGCGGCGGAGGCGGCGGCGGTGGCTCGCGCGGCGGGCGGCACTTGCCCGGTCAGGGCGGTGCTGGAGCGCGTTGTGGCCACCGCCAACGGCGTCCTCGTCGCTTGCTGGCAGGTGACACCGCGCGGCCGACGGCTTGGCGGGCGCCGCGGTTGAACATGGCAGCTTTCGGGTCGGATCACGAAACACTTCAATTCCCCGTTGCCAAACATCCCAAAGTGACAGCCGCTCACCGCTCTGCGACCGCTAAAATCAGAAGCCGCAGTCGTCGTTGCGTGAAGCTGCGGCGTCGCGACCCCCCAAACAGGCGCCTGCCGCCGCGGCCCCGCCCCGCCGACCCCGGCCCGCCGCCTGAGCTTACTGCGGCCGCCATTCCCCCTGCCTCCGCCCCCCTCAGGTGCAGTCGGGGTCCGGGGAGCCCGAGGAGCTGCGGGCGCGCCTGCGCGCCGCGCTGCCGCGCGCGCCGCCGCCCGGCGCACAGGCGGTGCGGGACCCGTCCGTGCTGCACACGACTATCGCGCGCCTGCTCGCGCCGCCGCGGCGCCCAAGCGCGCGCGGCAGCGGTGGCGGCGGTTTGGGGCGCCCGGGAGCAGAGGTGGCCGCGGCGGTGCTGGGGCCGGAGGTGGCGCGGGCGGCGGCTGAGATGACTCAGGAGCTGTGCGGGCTGTCGGCCGTTTTTGATGAGCTCTGGTGGGCGCTGGGTTGGGACCGGGATGCCGGCGGCGGCCAGACGTTTCGCGTCAAGGGATGAGTGGCGGGCCAGGTGCTGGCAAGACAGGGAAAGCTGGGGCCGCCGCCGGCCGCCGCCGCCGCGTCCAGCGGGTGGGGGCGTGCGCACGGGACGATGCGCTGCATCGCGCCACCCGTTGCGAGGCCCGCCGCGGCAGCCACGCCAGCCCTTTCTTGAAGGAAGGGCTCGCACTGCGCCGCGCCGCTTGCCCTCACAGGTTTGTAGAGGAGCGCGACCTGCTTGCTCTGGTGGGTCCAATGTTTGAGAATCTGGGCGGCTTGTTGGCTGGGGTGGATTGGACCCCCAGCAGGTGACGTGCCTGCCAAGCTCAAGCACGCGGGTCGGGACTGACGCGGAGTTGCCGTGCGGACGCGCCGCTCGTGTGTGTGGCGCGAGCGCGCCGTGGCTTCGGGGTTGAGTGGGGGTCAATGGTTGGCGATGGGAGGGAGGGCGATTCGCGGCTGCACGGGTGACGGCGGTCCCGTGCCCAAAGCCGGCGCGGCGGGTGACTCTTCCGCGTGTGAGGAAAGCGTGCCGCTCGCCGCGCCGCCCGCTGCGCAGGCGCTGAGGGGGCGCTACACCAAGCGCCAGAGCATGTTGAGATGCGGAGAGCGGCCTGGGGCCCGGTCTGACATTGGCCGTCAGGTGGCCGGCACCAGCCGGACGGCTGGGGCCGAGCAACCCCAGCAGCACCGCAAGCGCGCGCGCTTGCGATGAGCGCAGTAAATTGTGTCCGGTGGCTCCAATGGCGCCGACTGCGAAGGCCGGGTGCATCGTTGGTTGTGAGCTTGACGGCAGCGCACCCGCCCTTGGCGCCGGGATAGGTGCGTGGGTAGAGCGGGGGTCAGCACAAGGGGGGGTGAGGTTGCCAGACTGCAAACTTCACACCACAGTATTGATTCGTAAAACCTCCGACTGATGTCTTGTATTGCAGCTGCGCGTCGCCTTTCACACCTCCAAAGGCTGGTCGGGCGGGGGGATGGTGCTTTGGATGCGTGCCAATGCTGTAGGCAAGAAAATGTCCAGTGAGTCCATACTTATCAGATCCGGGCATCTATAGACGTTACCCGCGAATCCCAGGGTCAGGTATTGCCGGTTGCCCCGCGGAACGCGCCAAGCCCCTCCGGTGGGGCCAGCTGGGTGATCTATCAAGGAAAGGGTGGAATCATAGTGGTCATGGCGGGCTGGGGCGGG